AACCATGTATTGACTTGTTCATCCAATTAATCATCTTTTTTTGATTGTTTCTTTTCTATACTCAGCCTTCTTCTTTGTTATTTTCAAGAGTTTTCTTTGATGGACTTCTTTTAATAAGGCTTCTTCTTTTGTCTTAGTATAGTCATTCAAGCCACATTTTTCTTTCTTTCACAATTTGTTTCACCTGCAGGAGTCCTCTGCCTCCTTTGGCTCTTGGCAAATATGTCTGATTGGTTTTTGGATATACAGAATGGTCATTAGTTTGTTTTCCAAACTAAGTTATAAAATTCCATCTGAGTCAACTGTATTACTGTTACGAATAATTGCACAGTTAGCCAGATGTTTTCATTGGATTTGGCATTTTTATCCGCTTACTGAGTCTTTCCCAAGGACTGGACAGAGGGAGATGTTGTTTGATACTGTTTAAACATATTGCCGTACGATGTAAGCTTTTCCGAATAAAGCTTCCATTTGTAGTTGACTGGTAGTGATTTTGTAAGTGTCAAAAGTGTTCAAATGGTGCTCCAGATACTTTTGGATTGGACCCAAGGCATCTATTGACACTATCTTTACTTTCTTTTGTCACAGTCATTCTACTTCTATTTGCAAGTCTTTGTATTTTGGGGTTTTCTTCAGTTCTTTCTCTTCAATTCTGACATCTCTAAAAAGTTCCAAAAACATGCATGAGCACTAGTAGAGTCAGAGATAATTTTGGCATAGCAGATTAAGCCTAATTTAATCCCACCCTTGAGTGATCCTTCCCATAATGATAGAGGTCATAAATTAGCCCTGCCTTTTGCCATCCCTGCCTAATTTTTAATGGTTCAGTTTTCATAAAAATATTACAAATTATCTTTTCAATATGGACAGTGATTATGATAATTAACATAAACATCAAGACCTTTAAAGTAAAACAAAGGTTTACAAAATTGGCTTATTCGACCAACATTAAAATGTGTGTGATTTTTTAAAAGTAGCTTTTAATGGGTTTTTCTTGACTAGGAGTGAATAATGAGGCTTTAAGTATTTGTTTATGTACAGCATATGGAAAGAAGAGTATTTCTGTTGCATTTGTAGAGAAAGCGATAAACTGTGGTGTTAAAAATTGAGGGAAGATGAAAAGATGATAAATGAATTTGTGGGACATCATTTGAAGGGATTAAAAGATTACAATTTTTAATATGTTTCTGGTAGCTGGTTTCTGGTAACAAAAAATTATTTTACTTGTTTCAAGTGTGTATATGTGTGTATGAATGTGTATGTGTGTATCTGAGGAATTTAAGTAGTTTCTAAGTTGGATAAATAAATACTGTTATTTCTAATAGATCTTAATGGAGTTTTGCTGAATAAAATTGAATGATGAGGCTTTATTATTTGCCAATAGATAAAAGATGGAATGAAGAAAATTTTGGTTGAAATACTAGAAAAAGTGTTTGTACTTGTCTTGATAGAGATGGAAGTCATTTCTTTCTATATTTTTCCTTTAGTTTTAACATATTTTTCATGTATATTAATTTTTCATGGATTAATTTGAAAATAGCTGCAACTGCAAATGATTCTGTATGTGTGCTTAAACAGACAATTGTGTTTGCAGCGGTTTTTTTATAAATAACATTCCCATTATTAATTCCAGATCACCTTTTACTTTATCAAATGGATTGTTCCAATTAGTATTTCTATTCCTGTTTCTGAATATTGTAAATAATAGAATATTTGCATCTAACCATATAGAACAGTAATAATAGCACACTAAAATTAGTGAAAGTGGAAACTAATTTATCATGTATAGTAAGAGAGAAAATGTATTAAAATTTAAAAAAATAAGATATATATTTATAAAAAGTCACCATAAACTTCTAATGTGCATTTTAATGAACTATTCTGTATCCAGGTTTTTTCAGCCTTACCAATTAAATCAGACTGGAAACACAACCAGATGAGCCAATTCTACATTATTTTAAGCCTATAATAAAAGAATCTTATAAGTCTGAAAGCACAAACTTTATATTCCAAGAAAATAGGAATAGTCCCTTCTGAGTCTCCATTTATTATCCAGCTGCAGAATATCCCCTTTCTTATCTGACTAGGTAGCACCACTTCATCCAGTCTCCCAAGGTCTTTCCCACATATCATTACAGGGTGTGTGTTTTTTTAGCTTACGGTTATAGTTTGTTTCACTTAATATAGCAAGAGTTTTCAAACTGTGGGCGTCAATCCAGGGGACACAAACAATTTTCAAGGGATAAAACTCTGGCTGTGTATTGATATGTTGTGGTTTTTGTCAAGCCACTGCCTTTGTGCTCACAGTAATAGCCCTCTTTTACTGTGCTGTACTGAGCTCATTCCTCTGCAGCTCCCCAAAGCAACCAGGCCATGACTATGATAATTTCCCCTCATCTTATTTTTTTCCCTTCTCCATGGGCTGTGACATGTAGTTCTGATTCTTGCCCTGGTTCCAAATTGTGGGAGAGAGGACTTCTTGGATTCGTGGCATATGGTGTGGGGTTTGATTTAGAACAACGTTATGTTTGGAACAGAAGATCTGCTTGCCTGTCCATGATTTTAATTGTGTTAATTATAATGTGTATTTTTAAAAATTGTTCTATGCTGCCTTGAGTGTTTATATAAACAGATGAGGATCTACAGTCAATAATAATAATAAAAATCTTTAGAGAGTGGATTAACAGGACCTCAAGATATAGTTTTATAAATGGGCTTGGAAGAAAGTAGGAGGGGATAAAGATTGGAAGCTAACGAGAGGAGAAAATGGTACTATTTTGTTATGTTTCATTATATTACTAGGATGTTAAAAAGTGCCTCAGGCAAATAGGATCTGTTTTTAAGCTAGTGCATTCTAAGTCTGTTATGAAGCTCCCTTCCCTCTTTTCCCCCTAGATATCAATATCAAATAAATGTGTTTTTTTTTTGTTTTTTTTTTTGCAATCTCTATGAAGCTTGCAATTCCCTGTCTGATTTGAGTTTTTAAAAGTTTTTAGTAATGTGTTCATGTTAATTATGGAGTATTTTCATCTCATCTCTTAACAAAAAGCTATGGCTGTAGAAAAGTATTATGGCAATATACTTAAATTTTCTTTCAACGGAACACTGTAATAGACATCTTGCCATACTTATGTTATTTTAATTGGATGTTTAGCTCTAGGAAGTTCATAAGTTATTATAAAATTTTAATGTTGATAAAATTAGCTAAGAGGAAATTGCCCTTAATTCTATTGATTATGCAGTAAAGACTAAGGCCTTATTTTATTATATCTAACAATGAAAATAGGTTTAGTAAAATAGCAAGGAACACTGTCTGAGATACTGTTACAGGCAAAAAAATAGGTCACACCTAAAGGTTCAATTAAGCTAATTTATTTCTAATAGCCTATGCACAAGAATCTTCTTAACTAATGGTCAGCACTTGCTTAGAGTTAGATAAGGGTCAGTGGCATTTTAGGGGAGGTTGGTTTAGTTTGCCTGTGGCTACTTAGAGATTTTAGGCTGATCCATCACCCTTTTCACTCCATCTCTAGGTTCTGCCATTCCTTCTCCTACAGATATTATAAGTGGGCACTAGTTCTTCCAAATAGTATGCTAATTAGCAGGGCACTGGTTTATCTCTCACACTGATTAAGATACTGAAGTATAAGTTGCAGTATCTGGACACATTTTTGGACATATTCTGGACACATTGTTGGCAGTGTGGTAAGCATCAAGATTTCCTTCATTCTTTCTAAACATTCTATAAATTAGCTCTGAATTAATCCATTATAGTACAGCAGATATTTCTGCCACAGTAATCAACCTGTAAATTGCCTTTTTTTGACAAATGAAATGTAATAATGATGCATTTAGGGAGATTCAATTTATTGCTTTCTTCAACTATGTTATATGTGATGACTGTGAAATAGATAAGGTAAAAATATGAGGGGTGGTGATGGGTTTTTTTAACTGGGTTTCTGGGCAACTTTATTGTTGGATTTGCTTCTCTTTTTTTAACCCTGCACATTGGAATAAAATGGAATCTCAGTTGATAAATATGAAAAATAATTAAACACTTCTCTAGGTTAGATACTCTTATTCATCAGTTTTACTTTGATATTGATTAAAAATGTAGGAAGCTTTTCAGTGAGCTGTATAATTTTATGTACACTTTTCTCTTCACTACCTATATTATTTATATTACTGTCATTGGCTATTATAAACAATTTCCTGTCAGAATTTTTTTTCTTTCTGGTTTGTTTTGATTTTATTCTTCATGTAATTTTAGGAAGTTATCTCTTTACAAATTATCAGAAACAAAATATGTGTCCTGAACTCATTCTTCTGAATATCTTGACTGTTAACACTTAAAAAAACTTTCTGAATTCTTATTTAAATTTTTTTAAACAGAAGTGACAAATTATTTTTTTTCAAAGTATTCACTTGATTAAATATTCATTCCTCTTTTAGAGAAGATGGACATTTTCTGGCAATTGACCATATTTAAAAGTTTATACTCTTTTTATATCTTTTTAATTTTTTATATCTTTAATTTCTGTAACTAAATTTATAGTGTTACCACATACTCACACTCCTCATAGGAATATACGAAGTGTGTTCCCACTCCTGCAATTTTTGAACCAACCCATATAATCCACAAATGTAATATTATTTTGGTTGTCACCTCTTTGAAGTTCAAGCAGTTTTATTAAGATTTATATATGATCTAGAACTTAATGAATCATCAAGTCCACTATATCATTAGATGACCTCTGCCTCTTCCGTCTCTTCATGAAGCATGTGATTTCCTTTCTGATTTTAATTCTTAACATTTTTTAAGGAATTTGTTTATGTTATATTGTATATTATGTTGTATATTCATCTCATCCCCTAATAAAACATAGCCCAAAATAACCTGGTATAAATTCCATAATGAATATATTTATGCTTGAAAATTAAATTGACATGGTTTAGTTAATATTTATCTGTTACTTAATGTTATTTTATTTTTTTCCTAGATGCAACAATTGTTCCATGAAAACTATGAACGCAACCGGAAGGGTTACATACAGGATCTTCACAACAGCAAAATTCACACCGCAATTACACTTCATCCAAATAAAAGACCAGCCTATCAGTACAAGCTTCATAACTACATATTGACCCGTAAAATTTCAGAATTGCGTTACCGCACCATCCAGCTTCATAGAGAAAGTGCTCTCATGAGCAAACTCGGCAATGATGAAATAAGCAGAGAAGATCAGCTTCTGGGAATGACACCATCTTTCAGTCGTTTCCAGCCCCGTGACAGGAATGAAGTCATTGAATGGGATTTTCTGACTGGAAAGCTCCTTTATTCAATAGCTGAGAATCAGCCACCTAGGCAAAACATTAATAACATCCAGCGAGCAGCATTAGATGACACTGTAATGCAGGTAATGGAAATAATCAATGAGAACTCTAAATCTAGAGGAAGGCTTATTGACTTCAATGAAATACAGTATGGATACCGCAGAGTTGACCCTCTGCACGGTGTAGAGTATATACTGGATTTGCTGCTTTTGTATAAAAGGCACAAAGGAAGAAAGGTCACTGTTCCAGTTCGAAGACATGCTTACCTTCAACAATTATTTAGTAAGCCTTTTTTCAGAGAGGAAGAAGAACTGGATGTGAGAAGTGTGATGGAAAATGACCAGAGTGACACACAATCCCTCTCTTTCCTTTCTAATTCCCTGAAGATGATCTCACCATTTAAAGACACCAAAGAATTAAGGGGAAGCAATAACAAGAAGATACACATTCTTGTCCCTCTCACAGGAAGATACAATATTTTCTTGAGATTTATGGAGAATTTTGAAAAGACTTGCCTTGTTACAAAGGAGAACGTGTGGTTGGTGGTTATTCTCTTTAGCCCAGATTCTAGTCAGGAGTCCAGTAAACACATAGAATTGATCAATGCATATCGCAATAAGTATCCAACGGCAGACATCACTGTTGTTCCAATGGCAGGAGCTTTTTCAAGAGGTTTGGGTCTTGAAACGGCCTCCTCTCAGTTTGATAATGATACATTGCTACTATTCTGTGATGTTGACCTAATATTTACTCCTGACTTTCTTCAGCGGTGTCGAGCTAATACCATCCAAGGAAAACAAGTTTACTACCCTATTATTTTCAGCCAGTATGACCCCAAAGTAACCTATGGAGACCACCCTCCTGTGGACAGTTATTTTGTTTTCACTAAGAAAACAGGGTTTTGGAGAGATTATGGGTTTGGTATCACTTGCATTTATAAAAGTGATCTTATAAATGCAGGTGGATTTGATACCTCAATTCAAGGTTGGGGACTTGAGGATGTAGACCTTTTTACTAAAGTGGTAACTTCTGGCTTGAAGGCATTTAGAAGCCAAGAAGTTGGGGTTGTGCACGTGTTCCATCCAGTTCATTGTGATCCCAGTCTAGAGTCTAAACAATACAAGATGTGCTTGGGATCTAAAGCAAGTACATTTGGCTCTGCAATGCAATTAGCTGAAATATGGCTAGAAAAGCATTTAGGTCTTAGGTATAATCATACTTTCTCCTGATATTTTAACCGGGACTGGCTTCCTAAGAGAAGTTTACCTCATTGCTTTTTCATTTCATCATTGCATTCTTAAACTTCTCTTTGTCTTCCAAAGGATTTGTCTTTGACCTTTAACAAACATCTATTAGGAATATTGGAGATTCCTGCTGAAGTGATGTGTCTTTCTGTCCTTGATTCATAAACTGAGTGAAATAATTGCAACAGAACAGTTGCATAGATAACATCCATCACTAGGAACATCAGAAAAATAGTCTCTTTGGACTTCAGGATGCAATATTGATCTTGATTGTGTCTGTCAAACTTAATGTGATACAAATATTTTTCAGTGAAGGTATCACAAAAGTGCTTTATGCTTCCTCTGGGAAAGAGACTCTGGCAAACTTGAGTTTTATAATTTATATGAGGACTGAAATAAAACTATTCTTTATAATTTTTAAGTAATAAATAATGGACTCATCTATTTTTTAAAATAAGGGAAAAATACATTTTCCAGGTGCAATGGTACTGGCTACCAAGACCCTTAAACAGCATATCAAATTGACCTCTTCAGTACTCTGCAAATGGACTGTATTTTCTCAAGAAAACATAACTTAATCAGATATTTGCATATGTTGAGAAGGTTATAAATCAATCATATTCATTTGCTGGCAAGAAGAAATAATGACACAATATGATTATTTATAATAAAGAATAGGCATGTGATCTTGTGTTTTCTAAAACAAGAATATTTTGCTTTGTTTCTGTTTAGATTGAACGTCTAATATATACATAGTTTTCTAATTCCTTTCATAAGACTGCACTTGTAAAAAAGGGAAATCAAAGGGTACTTAATATTGTCTTTTTATAATTCTGTGTTCATATTCTGAATCAATTGTTGTCAAACTTTAAAGAAAATGTAATTATTTAACTATGAAAGTACTATTGCTGGTCAAAGTTCTTGCAAATATATTTATAATAGTGAAGATATATAGAAAGTGGAATGTGTTAAGGTTTTCTTCTCTGGAAAATCCAAAAATTCCAGAAAATATATTACGGTTAGTGAAAAAATATTAGATGGTTATGTTCTGTTAAAATGAACACAAACCATGACCACATTATCATTCATACAGTGATTTTGATTAAATTTATGACATGTTTTTAAAACCTGAAACATTCCCAAGAAAGATACATTAATCCTGATGACCAATATAATATGATCAACTTTAAAAAACATATCAAGCATCTCTAAATAAATAAAATCTGGTATTTTTAAGAAAAGGTACTGAACAGTATGTTATAATGGCCACGATAGAATCTGAACTTATTGCCTGAAACATCTAATAGAATCAGCAATTCTCACAATTTAATTGGCACATAGCATGCTCGCCATGGCACTATATATATATATTAAACTAAATTGGGAAAGAGCAAGAGATAAGTATTCTGAATAAGATATATTTGTATCTTATTCAATTTTCTTTTACAAATAATAAGAATAACCATGGCAACTATGTTTCAGAATCAATATTTTATTAACTTAGATTAAATATAGTAAGAAATACATATTTAGTGATGAACTGGGTAGGTTTACAAATTCAGGACAAAGCAATGTACTCTCTTGACCATTACACCAAAGATTCTTCCTAGATATTATTTTTCTTTTGTATATTTCTTTTTTTCAAAGCATGTTAATACTAGTATTTTCTTGTGACAGTGGTAATTTCTCTCATTTTAGATATGATTCCCAACAGTGTTTCAATTCAGTGTGCCATATTTATACACAGGTATAATTTCATTTTACATCTATGAACACATGTACAAATCCCACTACTATAAAATTAGTCCTGATTCAAAATTACATACTGCAAATTCTTCCCAGATCAATAGCAATTAGCATATTATATATATATGATTGGGATTCTACAGTACCAACCTCAGTTGTACTCTTTTTAGCTTCATTGCATAACTGCTATAGCAAATAAGCTACTATTTTTAGTTGGCTCATTACTTAATATTTAATGTCCATGTAAGATGAGGTTTGCATACAAACTTCTCATATTCATGATTAGCATATGGAATATCAAAACTATAATAGGAATTTAGAGAGTTAATTTGGTGTAATGGTTAAAGGTGCTAGATTAGAAGCCAGGAAACTGTGAGTTCTCATCTTGCCTTAGTTGCAAAGTCAGCTGGATGACTTTGGGTCAGTCTTCTCTCTCGACCTTAGGAATAAGGCAATGGCAAACTATTTCCAAAAATATTTGCCAAGAAAATAATGTAGTTGTCATGAATTAAACCTGACTCATAAGTGAAATAATTAAGTCAAGTATACATGAGATATGGAGGGGGGGAAGCTATTTTATCTTCACAAATGAGGTACTAGATTATCTTATAAGATAGAATATAGGCAAAGAGATTTTAAGGCAAACAAATAATTTGGAGTGCTGATATAATCTGTGGCAACTCCTTAAAATGCACCCCTGGAGCTCCTCTGTCAAACGCTGATGAAATCAGAAGATACAAGCAGTTCAAATGAGTATAAAGATTTATTTCGAACTTATGCTGTCTACAAGACAGCCAAGCAAATTAGTGGTAGGTAAATTCAAGGAATTCAAGGTAGGCTGGATTTAGATTTCTTGTGGGTGTGAAAGGACTCATAACTGATACACCTTTGACCCCTCCCTCAGGCTTAGCCTGATCATCTACAACCATATTCCTAGGAATAAATATGGCTGCTTTAAAAAGTTGCAAGCAGGTGCTATGCTTGCATCTCAACATACTCCAGAACATCTTTTCCCCTTCAAATCCAGAATGCTGCCTAGACCTATCAGGTTAAAGAATTCTTATTACTTTGGGACTTAGAAAGAATAATGAAAATTAAAAACATTCTGTCTGAATTTGTTTTGTGGTTATAGAGTGACATGCACAACTACTTGTGAAAACCAAAACCTTGTCCTCCAAAATGTGTATTCTTACTACATTGTCATATTGTAATTTCCTTTTCTAGATATTTTTTTCTTTATCTGTTGTTTGGGACACATATATTTCTTGTTAACTTGAAGTTTTAAAATGTCAATTAACTGTATTTGAAGAAGCTAAGCTCTCCCTGGTAATTTCAAATGCAAAAAATCATGAGAGTTTACCCTAACTCCTTGATAAAAATGTTGAATATTTGTCCGTAGCCTTAAATTAACATAGTTTGCTCAGACAAAATTTCACCATATAGCATGAACTGAACTTAATGACTGTACAGGGAATTCTGCGTATAAAGGACTTGCCGGATCGGGTCCTGAAATGAAAAAAATGAAATGTCAATTCTTATTCTTTAGAGATATTTATTTAGTGTATGACCAATTCATTTGTTTATATGATGGATTACTTTGTTGTAAACTGGATTATAAATGTTTGTTATAAAATATTGTGTTGTCTTTGGAATAATGTTGTCTTTCTCAGATGAATTGTGTTAGTTGATTTGTGGCAGGAGTGCCATTTTAATGATAACATAATCATAATCTATGCAGATTTGCTGTATTCAAGTGAGCAGGAACTGCCAAGGAACTCACTGGTGTTTATTTCGGATTATCAGGGTGCTTTGCAAGTAGACTCCCAATGAATTATACTCACCGTTAATTTTTTTTTATAAAACAGATCAAATAATGTACCTTTCTCCCTCTCCCTTTTCAAACAGATTTGAGGAGGAGGAAATGGGATTGGTACCTTTTTCTTCTTCAAGCATGGCTGTGCCCAGCACCATCAAACCAATCAAGACCCATACATACTAACTGCTTAGCCAAATTCCTTATTTAAACAAAGCAAACATAGTGGCCGTTATAGGAGTGACAACATGATTAAGGGGAGGAGGACCATTTGGCCAAGGAATCCTATCAAGGGCTCCCTCAAACTAACCCTATTACTGTCACAATGGGTGCTGAAATAGTTCAGATGGTAAGAGTAAGCTTTACATCCATAAGCTCAACTGTGACTTTTAATTTGAAGTAAACCAACACTGTCACTTTCAGAAGGCTGAAAAGGATTGGACCTTTAATGTCTGTGCTTTAAGTATTGGTTAATCACACTAGCTGAGAAAAGATCAATGATAAAGTAACATAAACATTTAAAGGTTTCCTTGTCCAGTCGTGACTGACTCAAGGGGGCAGAACTCATCTCCGATTCTCAGCTAAGGGAGCCTGCATTGTCTGAGAGATTTTTTCCTTCATCATGTAGCCACATGAAAATACAGAATGTAATAACCTTCCCACCGAAGCGGTACCTATTTATCTAGTTGCATTTGCATGCTTTCAAACATTGGGTTTGCAAGAGCTGGGCCAAGTAATGGGACCTCATCTCATCTACACGACACTCAGGCCCAAGCTATCAGCTTTCCAGCTGACAAGCACAGCATCTGAACTGCTGAGCCATCACGCCTCCCTCCAAAGTGACACAAAGTAACATAACCTACTTTTAATCAGGGCAGCACTTCTCATTTTACATAAAAGCAAATGCCCAAATTAAATAAGTAGTTTGGTTCCTCTTGCTAAGTCTTCCTTTTCCATCATCGTCTAATTAACAGAATTCCATGATTCATTGTTCCACTACTGCATCCCAGGATTTTTTTTTTACTTTCTGGCTTGAATTCCTTTCTACCACATTTAAAATAAATAAAATACAGATATTTCTGGTCTTGGCTTAAGGGTATCCACTCTGTTGAAGAGTTTCTAGTTCTGTTGCTGATAGTTTCCACTTGCCTACCACAATAGTTCAGCAGCCTCATGAACATTATTACTTTATTGCTTCCTTCCCTGGCCTCAGTCAGCAATCCCCTTAAAGTCAAGAGAATTCCAAAACCAAACCTGTCTCGGTTTCAGAAATAAACACTGTCAGACAAGGCTTAGTTCCAGCACAGAAAAACAGCACGGTTTAGATTTTCAGTAGTGTGAAATTTTTAATAACACGAGTACTGGTTTAATAAATGTAAATTCAACATTGCTGGGTTAGAATGGGTTCTATATTATTTTAAATATA